CTGTGGGTGATTTCGAGTTGTAATGGGGATCCCATTTCGCCCGAGTAGCCAACCGACAACTTGTGAGCGACTTCCATGCAACTGCCACTCGCAGCGTCTACTGAGAAGAAATGAGCTACGCGTGCAGATTCACTTGCACCACGCCGGTTGACTTTCCAGGTTGCTCATTAGAAAGCAGTAGGCGATTAATGAACACATGTCGCTGTATCTTGGCTCGCGCACTCGGCATCTGGACGCATCCGTCCTGACGCGTTCGCGGCGTCTTCGGTAGCCCTCGCATGGATTTGTTTGCCATGCAATGACTTGAGGAAACGCGTTGGTGAGAATAATCAATTACTTCCTGTCCTTAAGTTATATGAAGCGACATCTCTTCCACAATCAAGAGTCAATCATTTACTGTATAGACTGATGTTTATGGGGGGTGACGTTACGGGATGAGCCCGGGACATGGCATTCATATTTAATATGTCAACGTGAATTGTATCTATTAATAATTTTGATTGACCTTACCTCTCTATAGAAAATTGGAGGAATAGTAACGATAAGGGTAATGTTTAAGGCCGCTCCACTTATTGGTTGGCGAAGGCGATGATGATGACTAATTGTACCACCAATCGCTGTTGGACGCGCGCAATGGGTGGTTAGCAAGAACCTACATAGACGTTTGTAGTGTAATGTAGGTCAAGTACGACACAGAAAGGTCGGTGAAAAGAAATGAGCTGTATTAAATACAGTTCTACTTTACCCCTACTCTGACCATCCTTGGCTCAGCTTTTTCTCTCGATTCCTCAACGCTCACGTGTACTTGACGCCCGAGACATGCACCCTTGTATTATAATAAATACAAGTGATTGTCAGTATACTGGTAAAAAGCGTGTCCTATCAAAGAAATAGCCGTACCATAACGTGATGATTGCACATGTTGTTCTACTATGAGAGAGAGTTTGAGGTAAGTTTGGCTATGCGAACGACCCACTATATCCGGCTTTGTTAGCCATTCTCCGGTGATGTGTAATGCACCGCCCCCGCGCGGGTATCGATACACGTAACTCCCGGTCCTAATGCCAGTTCTTTTTCACTCGGCCACCGGGGTTGGTATGTTATTCCACTATATCCATTAGCGCATGATGGTCGCAGATCGGGGACGAGAGGGTCGTAACCATCTTTTCGCTGATAATGTACAAAATTGATGACTTGATAAACAACAGGATCCCGGCAGTTGGTGTTGGCTATGACAGCTCGAGAGAATACATTTCGTTGACCTAGATTCTAACTAATCATAAACATTGACTAATGAAGCAATGTATTCGGTCGCCTACTCCACAACTATTTTTCATCTTTTCGACAGTGGTATCACGATGCTAATAAGCAATTTTTATGTCCGTTCGATGGTCGCTTCCACCTCCACTGTACTCTGCAATATTCTCTAAACAGTGGTAATCTGGAATGTAGACTACACAATACTGCGACTGAGTACGAGCTGTGCATCGCCAAAATTGCCGACACGGGGCGTTTGACGCCTCCTTGTATTACTTGATCAATATAAAATGACAGGAATTAAGTAAAACAGTTGATCGCATGATCGCAGCCGCGTGTGGTTACCCGGACTAGAATTCACGGCCGCCGAATCGATGGTGTGCAGTGTGGGCTCTCCCAGTTTGAGTTTTATCGATCAAAGGACAAGAGGCCCATCTCATCCGCGCTGCCGACAGTTTGACTTTTATCCATCTATCGGCAGCGCGGATGAGGTGGGCCTCTTGTCCTTTGTCGCTTATAGTTGAGGTTTACCGGCGAAGGAAGTAGTCCGCGATGAGGGGCTACAACTTGTAAATCTTGATTGTGTCAATGGCGATTGTTCTTCCTGATCTCTACCAAACTAGATTTGTTTCCCTCCATGTCAGTGTATTTCAATAGAAATGTGACTTGATCAACCTATCGTTATTGGCTAAAGCGATCCTAATGGGGCGGGTATCAAGATCCTGCTACCGACTAGCGCATGACGTAAGTTCGGTCTACTTCATAGATGCTGATGAACCCTGTACGCTCACCAATGTCGATTGCATTCTACAGATGGTGGCGGCGGTAGCGCCTGCTACATGCTGAGACGATGTCGGTATATGTAGGCTGAATCTTGTTCATAGCAATGTCGAAGAGGCTGAACCTTGGTATTGGCAAGCTTGGGGCATCCGTACTTTGTGCGACGAGATATTGTCCTTTACATGGGACGTGGGACATGGTTTCATCTGCTACTGTAAATACATCTTCGACTGAAGATGAATGTATACATAGGATGTACCGTGTGTATTGCAGTTTTTAGGTGCGTACTAAGTCCAGCCAAGGACCCAGAGGCACAGCACCTTATCGGTAGCCTGGAGATCGTCAGACCAGATTGCTGTCTCGCTTGGATGGAGTGGTCCGTTCTGTTAGCCACACTCACATCGATTCATGGCGTAAGGTGCCGGCGACAATCCGGTGAGTGTGAACATCAGCCAGGTTATCGAGATCACCATTTACTAAACCCAGCAACCATCGGAGTGAGCCCTGTGATGCTTTCTTTCTCTGCGCAATGTCATACAAAGGTGCTTCATGTACGCGTAGAGCAACCTTTTACACCTGTCTATCTCCCTGTGGTACGGTGAATCCACTGGATCTATTCAATGCACATCGGCGTCTTGGGAACGCGAACACAGCCTCACGCAACAATGATGCTTAACTCCGTAACATACCTGTATTTCTCCTGAGCTGGAACGATGCGAGTTGGCGAAAATGCGTGTTCAGCTGTCAGAAGGACACTGACCGCCGGAACAACGGGAGATTGCAGCACCAAGGTCGAGGTCATGTGGGCTTCTAGATTGCAGTACTTAAAGCTAGTCCGTGTGCATGTTCGTATTCACTATAACAGTATTAAACACACCGTGCACAAGCAATGTTCAAGATAACGATATTCAATATACCGTGCACAAGAACTAGCTTCAGCACTGCAACCTAGAAGCTCACGTGTTATAGCTGATACACTTCCTACGTCAGGTAAACACGGCGATGACCATGATTCACCTTCCGTTTTGCACCGCAGAAGAACTCAGTAAAAGGTACTTATACAAATTCACCAAACTCTCGACACACTTGGGGCTCTGCGTCATTGGTCACGACAGACGGGGACGCAGACTGAAGGGCTTGACCATTCGGCGCACAACTCTGTCGTATCGTCGTACGCAATTTTTCGTGTCGTCGTCCGTGCAACTACAAAGCAATCATCGCAGGTCGTCGAAATGGAAACGCATTTGTATCGCTTGACGTGACCTCCGGACAATGGACCTTCTTGCTTGTCAAGCCAGAGCACCAAGTTTGTTTTCTTCTCAGCAGAAGTGGAGCATTCAGGTCTATCGGGTTGTTGGTCTTCCTCGAACACACTCTTTGCCATAATTGTATGCAGGACTTGAGGCCATTAGCCGCGATACGCATGCGCAGTCAAGTCTAGCTTCAGCTCAGAATCTTGCGTCCGTTTCTTTGTCAGCAGCTCATCCACCTGGAAGCATAGTCGGTGCTGCTTAGCATACGTGGAGGCACATAGTCTACCACTTCGAGCTAATAAGACCAACAGCTTTACCCTTTCTTCGAAAAAAAGGCAGCGGTCGACATGACGAAACGCTCGTGTGTCAATCAACGCGTCTCGATACACCTGGTCAACTGCCATATCGTGAAACGACGCTAAGCGTGCTGTACGCTGCGACCTTTAGATATGTTACCGGATAGCGTGCCACTCACGTCGAGTGTTCGAGATGCTGGTCGTAATATGCGCAATTGGTCGCACGTGGACGTTGTATCGTAGCCGCATCCCTTTTTCAAGTGCTCATAGACGACCGCTAAAAAAGGAAGCGAAACCCTGCACTTGCTCGCTCGGCTTGTAAGGACGAGCTAGTGCTACTGCGCTACTTGCTTGGGTCGTTCGTTTACTTCTCGATTCATGCATGTAAAACGCTTGCCCAAGCCTCTGATGACATTTGACGTGTCCGCACAAATTTTTTCACCTAGCCAATCTTGTAAATCCAACACAGGTTGTCAGTCGACCTGCCTTTCGTCGCCAAGTCAGAGTGTCTCGATCACGTGACCGCCACGTGACGTCCACAGTCATTGCGAAGCCCTTTATGCCTTGCGCGGTTCTCATTCCTCTTGTCTCGAGCGGATTTCAATGCAAACCCTTTGCGTTTATCGGGCTTTCCGAGCGCCGTCTTCACGACTAGCTCTGTCGCCAGCTTAGACTGCGTCCTTTACCGAACCCATGCTGCTAGGATCATCGGATATCTCCCCTCCTTGCTCTTCTCTGGCACCACCTGCTGGATAGCAAGCTCAGTACATTCTAGTGGTCCTCCTTTCGCGTGATAGAAGACACGGATCGCGTGCTCGTCGACCACCCGCACGATGCTGGCAAAAAGCTTCACGACAGCAATCACTTAATGTTGCTACACGTAGTCACGAAATGCACCACCGACGCCGGTCGTACTCGTAGCATCCGCCTCTTCCGAACGAGTCTGTGTGCTGCTGGTGCTACCATTTCCATAGTAGCACGTGAAGTGTCGCGTCGTTTCACGAACCTGCAACGGGCCACACAGACGCACGTCCAGGTGCATGTTCGCTCCTCCGCGGATAACATGCAACGGCCTTTTCGTCTGTCCCAAAGCCGTCCGGACGTGAGCCGATAATCTGAGGTTTTTCACTGAACGTTCGTCGATCGAGGGATCCCCACTCGACATTACGCGTCCCTCTCGCATTCGTTACGCCCGCTCTCTACACGTCTACGTCGCAGATACCGACAGAACCATCCGACCGACCGACCGACAGACCGACCGACCAACAGACAGGCAGGCCGTCCATCATCAATCGCTTCAGTTTGTCGGCCTCATTGAATCAGCGAACCCCATCCGTTCGTCAGTCTGTCTTTTTCCTTGAACGCGACACTTGGGTCCCCCCTTCTGCCAAAGCCATCTCGACAGACATTTGTCATGCAGGACGCGACAAAGACACTGTCGGTGGCCCTCGCGCTCCTCGTCGTCTGCGCCGCAGCTCAAGAGCTCTCGAACCCACTCGCCCCATGTCGCGCGTCGCAGTATCTCGACACGAACAGCGCACCTGCAACGTGCGTCGAGTATGCCAATCAGGGCGTCAAAGCCACGTCGGACTACGACCAAGTCGTGGATTCGGGCAACACGGCCTGGATGCTGACAGCAAGTGCACTCGTGATGATCATGACCCCGGGCGTCGCGTTTTTCTACGCGGGTCTCGCGGGCGAAGACATGGCGTCGAATACAATGATGATGTCGTTTGTCAGCATTGCGCTCGTGTCGATTCAATTTTGGGCGTTCGGCTACTCGGCGGCTTTTAGCTCCAACGGTGTGTTTGGTTGGGCCGCTTTTAACGGCGTCCAGCAGTACCCGAGCGGGACGTACGGCACGGGCATTCCGCACATTTTGTTTGCGTTTTACCAGACGCAGTTCGCCAGTATCACGCCCGCGCTGTTGAGCGGCGGCATTGTCGGCCGCATGAAGTTTGGCTCGTACCTGCTCTTCATTTTCCTCTGGACATCACTGGTGTACGACCCATTGGCCCATTGGATGTGGTCCTTGGAACTCGACAGTTCGTGGACCGTCACGGCAATGGGTTGGGAGGCGAAAATGGGCTCGATCGACTTTGCTGGCGGCACTGTGATCCACGTTTCGAGTGGCTTTGGCGCACTGGCTGCTGCGTTGATGGTCGGGAAGCGGTACAATCACGGCGAACCCGTGAAGCCACACAACGTGCCACTGGTGATGATTGGCGCGACGTTGCTATGGTTTGGCTGGTTTGGCTTCAATGCTGGTTCGCAGGCTGCTGCTGACGGTATCGCTGCAACAGCTGCTATCAACACACACCTTGCTTCGAGTGCAGGATTCTTGACGTGGGTGGCACTGGAGTTTGCCATGTTCAAGAAGTTTGACCCGTGCGGCGCTGCGAGTGGCGCGATCTCCGGCCTCGTGTCGATCACTCCTGCTTGTGGGTACGTCCACCCATGGGCTGCCATTATCTTTGGCGTCACGGGTGCTGCAACGGGGTTTGGAGCGATTCAGATGAAAAAGTACCTGCGCTACGACGACACGCTCGACTCCTTTGCGATCCACGGCTGTGGCGGTGTGATGGGCGGACTCCTCACGGGTCTATTCGCGACGTCGGACGTGAACCCGAACATCGAAGGCGGCGCCTTCTACGGCCATGGCATGCAGTTTGTACATCAACTGGTCTCGCAGTGTGTCGCTGCGGCGTACTCGTTCGTGGTGACGATCATAATCCTCTTTGTGCTGAAAGTCACAGTTGGGCTCCGCGTGGACGACGAGAAGGAGGTCAATGGCATTGACATCTCGTATCACGGCGGACTCGCCTATGACTATAGCGCTCAAGACCATACTGGCCCGACCGTGAAGGCTGCGAATCCTCCGACGTGCGATTTTGCCGCTATGATGACACCAAGTGTTTCTCAGGATACTGCATAGAGGCAGTCCGTCACGAACGGCTTGCCAGCTCACTGCTGCATGTAGCTTTTGTGATGACCACGAGAAAAAGGTGATGGGATGACTACATGGGCAAAGTGATGTGTGTAAGTAAGGAAATGAAGGGGCTGTGCTAGCGTCCAGTTTTCTGCCGTGTGCTTATGTTCCATGTTTGGTTACAGACTCTTTTGTGCCGATTGTAGAGCAGAGCGTCACTTCTTGTGGGTCGTTCACGCAGCCGAACGTCGCTGTATCTCATCTTATCGTGTAAAAAAGGTGTAGCGCGATTATGGTGTGCGGGTATAAATGTGTGCACACGACAGATCAAGAGGTGGCTGTTCGCACACCATCTCTCGATTGCAAACCAAAGCGGCGGCGTGCAATATGGTCGTCGTTGTCGCTGTTTGACGCACATCGTCTTTGTTGTTGGTAATGTAGACGTTGACTCCTCGGAATGATATGTAGCATCATAGCTTCCCATGACTTCCTCCGTGAGTGTTTTGTCTCGACCGGAGGTCAGACAGCAAGCTTCAGCTTGATTGCGAATCGCATCGGTGTGCCGGACTTGTTCTTGTACCTGGTCAGTTTCCTCTTCGTGTGCTCTTGGAATGGTCGTGGCGTGTCCAGTTTGCTTCTGGATGCAAAAGTCAATGACTCTCGAGATTCTGAAACTAGCAGTGTAACTCGCACATAGTACTCTGCTCGGCCGCATTCGCGTTCTCCGGATCCGCCATTCTACTCAGCGTATATTCTGATTGCTTGCTACACTCGCACAATGAAGTGGAAGATAGGATTACCGACACGCGTGCAAGCGTATGGTGAGACGATACTTTCTGACGCGGCAGGTCAGGAATGGTTTGTAGTGCTGGGACTTATGTCGTGTAGCGCCAGATGGTCGATGGAATCGGTCTAGTCCCGCTTCACATTATTTAGCCAAGTAAGCGCAGTGTGGAGCATTCGAACGAAATGCGACTGCAAAGCCCGCTGAGACTGTAAATCAGACCGATCGATGTCTATACCTTTGCTGCCACGACGGTGTTCCATTCTTACTTGACGCCGTTGGAGATGATGTCTCGCCTACTTTTACATTCGGCTCGATAGCGTCTCCATGTTCGGCTTCTGCTTTTTTAAGCTCGATTCTATTCACTGTTTCTCATCACGGCATGTCGCTACAGCGAATGGCACGAAGATTATCACTTTTTCTCGACTATCATTCAGTGCGCCAATCCGGACACATAGTAGGTAGGGTATATGCATCATGAGGCATCATGTTGCCATACCTACAGAAATCATCCTTTGAAGTCGTAGCAATCTGATGGTCTACTTTCCAGCCAAAAGTCGTCGCAAACAGCAAAATCTACTACCAGACATTCGCGATACAGTTGAAGTGCTCATCATGTCATACGTGGCTTTACAACTGACCGCAACAAGTTGGCCAGAGGACACACATTGAAAATCTCATGGCCAAGTTGCTGTTGCACGGGCCAAATAGTGCCGCGAACGCTGCACGACCAGGGCGCTAGCGTACAGCTCTTGCGCCTATGAGTGGACCAATGGAGGTCTAGCTGATGCATCGATCAGCCTTTCCCGACAAAGAATAGCAAGCGTGCACGCTTACTTGATCGATAATTTGCTGTCTGGCTCGATGGTGTTCGCCTTTCTCGTCGATCTACCCACCGTGTATATGTGGACAAGAATGACACGAGAAGGAGAAATGCAAGAGCGGCATGCTTCTACCAGAAGAGACGGAGACTTCTATAACCACAATCGCAATCAGAGTGAACTTTTCTTGCTGCAAATGCGACGAGTCAAGTCAAGAGCGGATATATTCTAGTCCTGCTTGCGGGAATGTCCACGACCAGAGGTTCGGTCGCGTGATTTGTGTTGCACTATCCAAACGCGCCTCGTTGTATTGATCGTACTCTCGCGCTTGCTGTCAGTGTGTGTCATCGCACGCAGTGGCGGCGTACAATCAACAAGACCGACTAGTCTGTCCGACCGTGATTCTCTGTGTCATTAGTGAGGTGCTTGCCAGCCGCAAGCAGCATTTGCAGTACAATTGCATTCTTTCCATGATCGCAGCAAGAAGATGCCGAAACGTTATACAAATGTCCAGAAATGAGCTGTGGGCAGAACACGATGTGCTTCGATTTCGTCCAGGAGAATGCTCTGACAACGAAGCGCCCACAATGTCCATCATCAACCTGTTAGCGTTGATAAAAAGTGACTCGTCTTCGAACGTTGCAGAAATGGACAAGAGGCGTGGTTAGCGGAGGTAGGAACGTGGCACAGCATCAATTGTATGAACATGCTGCGAGAGAGAGAGAAGGCTTGAGGTATATTCTGGTACGCGTACGACACACTATACCCGGCGATTTACGAACAGGCTGAAGGTATGAACGATCAACACGTTCTCAGTGGTGGTCAAGCTAGAGATACGGAGCCCGTAGCAAAGCATCTACAAGGTCCAGTTGTTCCACGAAGCGAAGCACAACATGCTCGCCACCTTCTCGTCTTGTTGTGATTGTCCTTCCTACTCACTATCATTGCCAAAAGCCGCTTTGCCTTACTGCGATAGCCAGAAAGCAGGCTACAGCAAAAAACTCAGTCTGGACGCGGCCGTCACGACAAGTTAAGGTCGCTATGGATCATGCATAGTCACGGCAATCCCTGCAGCAAACTTCGGTCGGTTTGTACACGATGGCATTCGTTTTGATTCCGAAGGCGGACTTGTGCTTCGCGCTCTATGTGTGGGTGGCTCGCTGTCGAGTCCATTGTCCTGAACTTATTTGTCTCGTTCCGTTCCTTGAAGGGACGGGACGCTGCCGTGTAACACCTCCCAGTGTTGATCACTGGCTACCCGAACCCTATGTGAAGCCGGTGTGTCGCGCCAGCCGTAGGACTCTGTGCCCGCGCACGTGGTTGGGGGTCCTTAACTGCAGGGTCTCACATGCAGTCAGCTCCGATGCGCTGTGACACAGATGATCGAACTCATGGGCGGACACATAGTCTAGTGACCCCGTTAAGGCCGTGCAGACGTTAATTAACACTCGTTCGTGTCGCTTTTTCGTCTCGCTCTCTCTCATTTGTTTTGTCAACAACGAAACCGAATGCGTTAAATGGTGTGGCAACGTGCCCACCATCGTATGAAACTGCTGACACGTCGAGGGATGTCCACTCGCGATAACGACAAGCCGCCTCTCCCCGGCTCGTGTGTCTCCAGCCCATCCGTTTTTGTCTGGAAACACCCACAACCCATCTGCTCACAAGGTAATGCTGGCAACGATGACGGCACTTCGGCCTTCCATCTGTATCGCTCGATCGCACTCGAGTGCCATGTCGCTTTGCCAATGTGTGGCGCGCGATAGACTCTAATCTCGAGCGGATCATCATCATCATCATCATCACCCCATCATCATGATACGTCGTACGATCATTCTGATGGTACGACCCGACAACAGCATGACCAGGCAAGTCCCGTGTAAAAAGCGCCGTCAATAGCTCACATGCCCTCGAAACTAACCCTACAACAAAACCACTCGTCCATCGATCGTCATTGAAGAATTCAGACCCTGACGCCAACGTTCGATCACTCACTACAGTGTGTTCAATCATGACGTGGCACGCACGAGTCGTGCTGTGCACCGTTCTAATTGCAGTAACATTTGGCACCCTACTGACTACTGCCCAAAGTCCCGCTGGCGAGACCGTCTCGTGTCTCCCGTCGCAGTACGTGGACCCTACAACGAGCAAGTGCGTTGGGTACGCGAGTCCCGGCGAGAAGGCCGAAGCGGACTACGACCAGGTCCTGGATCCGGGCAACACGGCCTGGATGTTGGCGTCAAGTGCACTCGTGATGATCATGACCCCGGGCGTCGCGTTTTTCTACGCGGGTCTCGCCGGCGAAGAAATGGCGTCGAACACGATCATGATGTCGTTTGTCAGTATGGCGCTCGTGTCGATCCAGTTTTGGGCGTTCGGCTACTCGGCCGCTTTCAGCTCCAACGGTGTGTTTGCCTGGGTCGGGTACAAAAACGTGGGCCAGACGCCCAGTGGCACGTACGGCACGGGCATTCCGCACATTTTGTTTGCGTTGTTCCAGACGCAGTTCGCCATGATCAGCCCCGCGCTGTTGAGCGGCGGCATTGTCGGCCGCATGAAGTTTGGCTCGTACCTGCTCTTCATTTTCCTCTGGACATCACTGGTGTACGACCCATTGGCCCATTGGATGTGGTCCTTGGAACTCGACAGTTCGTGGACCGTCACGGCAATGGGTTGGGAGGCGAAAATGGGCTCGATCGACTTTGCTGGCGGCACTGTGATCCACGTTTCGAGTGGCTTTGGCGCACTGGCTGCTGCGTTGATGGTTGGGAAGCGGTACAATCACGACGAACCGGTGAAGCCACACAACGTGCCACTGGTGATGATTGGCGCGACGTTGCTATGGTTTGGCTGGTTTGGCTTCAATGGTGGTTCGCAGGCTGCTGCTGACGGTATCGCTGCAACAGCTGCTATCAACACACACCTTGCTTCGAGTGCAGGATTCTTGACGTGGGTGGCACTGGAGTTTGCCATGTTCAAGAAGTTTGACCCGTGCGGCGCTGTGAGTGGCGCGATCTCCGGCCTCGTGTCGATTACTCCTGCTTGTGGGTACGTGTACCCATGGGCTGCCATTATCTTTGGCGTCTCGGGTGCTGCAACGGGGTTTGGAGCGATTCAGATGAAAAAGTACCTGCGCTACGATGACACGCTCGACTCGTTTGCGATCCACGGCTGCGTTGGCGTTCTCGGTGGTCTCTTGACAGGTCTATTCGCGACGTCGGACGTGAACCCGAACATCGAAGGTGGCGCCTTCTACGGTCATGGCATGCTGTTTGTGCACCAACTGATCTCGCAGTGTGTCGCTGCGGCGTACTCGTTCGTGGTGACACTGATCATTTTGTTTCTGTTGAAGCTCACGATTGGGCTCCGCGTGGACGAAGACAAAGAGGTGAACGGCATCGATCTCACGTACCATGGCGGAGGTGCCTACGACTACCGGCCCCAAGACTGTCTTGCGAAGACCACCAGACGTCCGTCCAGCGAGTTTGCTTTCATGGGTGCGCCAGCCCTCGCTCCATTGTGATAGATAGGAAGCAGTCAAGCACGAGATGAAACGCAATGACTAATCATACAGTGGTTGCCTTGTGTTCATTTTCGTTTGTCAGGACTGCCTCTATGAGGTACACCAATGCCTCGACAACTTTGGACTTGCTGGATACCCACCCACCCACTCGCTCGTCTCTCTCTTCTCTCTGTATCATTGCACCTCTCGAGGTCTCGTCATGGCAAAGCTCTCAATGGCAGGACAAAACGCAGCGCTCTACTCGTTCGGGATTGCAACATCCGTAGACAGCCTGACGCGACTTGCGGTAGATCGCTGCACAACTGATGGCCTGCAAGACTCTGTAGACCGCTGCCAACTGTAAGTGTCGATGATAGTAGAAGGAAGGACTTGACGGGATCGGTCAGGTCTGAGACTTTGTAGACAACTTGGGCAAACTTCAGCAGCAACGACAGTCCGATGTGCGTATGTGATGATAACCATTGACAGCTCGAGCTGTCCGATCGTTTCGCGAGGTCGGATCAGCCGTCTTTTCCGTGCGATATATCGTACGACGCTCGCATTTAGTTCCTGTTGCAATTGGTTGGCGACCAGACACGTGACGCGACACATGCGTTTGGTCGTTGACGTTGGCACCACGTGGTAAGTGGAGTGTACTCTGTGCCTTCTTACAAAAACAACAGTACCGGTCCGTGTGATTTGTTCGATGCGACTACGGCTTCCACTGCATGACGTCGTGAGAGAGAGAGAGAGTAAACACAAGACCACGTATCGATAGAGGCATCTGCAGACTCTCGAGCTATGATCAGTGCGTTTGGTATCGATCGACAATCGTATTGAGGACGTGTTGAACGTTCTTGCAGCCGACTTTACTTGTCGATGCTTTTGCTGGCACTTCGTTCGGAAGAAGGGTCGGTGAGGTGATTGTCAACTGAGCTATGAGGAACATGTCAACTGAGCTACGAGGAACATGTCAATGAGCTGTATGAGAGCACAACGCCTTTGTCGACATGCAACGAAACACGATCGACGAGTCGCATGGATCGAACGTAGTGGCACATCTGGTAACACTCGCAGTGCCAACATCAGCACTTCGAAAACTCTCCGCAGCCCATGACGATGCCACAAGTCTAACACGGGAGCCAAAACGGCCTGCGCTGCTCTAGCAACGCGGGCGCGTTCGTTTTCATCATCGGCCATTTAGCGAGTCACGCTTGTTGCAGTCACAACCAAAGGTGCATAAGGGCATGAGAAGGCGGACAGCGAACAGCACGCGATAAATTTAGTTATGGTGGGTCGATCTACCGTTGCAGACCGTCCTAACCCGATCTTGCTTGGCCCCTTACGCTATTAGATCCACTCGCTAGCGTAGAAACGTCGCGCGTACTGCGGACAGACGTAATCCCACATCTCAAACTCGTCGCCGGGTTGAGATCCGCTTGAGTTGTTGGAGGCAGCAGTAGCAGCAGCACTGTCTTCTCTTTCGAACGCATCGCTTTCTACAGCTTCTCGATCGTTGTCGACATCTTCGCTGGTCGTCTCTGAGGTGACGGGGTCAACTGCACTAGCGCTGTCGTACGAAGCGTCTTCACACTTGGCCATGCCAATGACTTCCTTTGGGTAATGAGGGTGCGGGGACGTGAAGAAGTCGCAGCAATTGGGTACTACGCAATGGATAGGAGTTGTTGGTTGCAACCTTGGAAGTCGAGCACGAGACGGCATCGTCGTTGTCGTCGATGATTGTAGTGTTGGAGCTGTAGATGGACAGCCGGCAAGGGCTGAAGACCCCGTCAAGGATCCGGATCGCTCGGACTCGTTGTCCCTTTGGTTTGCAGAAGATGCCGGGGCAGGTATTCCACACGACGACGAGGTGTCGGGCTCTGATACGTTTGGACAAGTCGACTGGTTCGCTTCTTCTTCTTCTTCTGTCGTCACGGAGTCGGAGGTGACAGACCGCTGCTGCTCGTCACTCTGTCCGCTTTGACCATCGCCTCTGCCTTCCAACGGGTCGGACGACCGTATCGATACCACCTCAGAACCATGCGTCGAGTTGGTCCGAGTCTCCGACATGCGCCAGCGATCGAAAGGCGGTTCGTGCTGCTGCAAGGACTGCAAGTTCCCAATTGACTCTCCGCACACTGAGCCTTCCGGTCGACGGTCCCGTCACGCTACGTGCTGACTCTGCTTGACAATAGGACGAAGTCGAGTGCTCGACTTGGCCATACCTGCCCACGTGCGCCAGTTGCTTCCTGTTGTGGCCGCTCTTCGTGTTATCGCAGAAGTGGTCGCGGACAGCTGCTGGACACGCGACCGCTTGTGGATCATCCGTTGACGTCCACAACGCGTTCCAAGTTTCTCGAAGAGAGGAGATATGTTCGCTACAGGCTCCGCAATCCTTGTGGCCTCACACGTACATTGATGCAACAAGAGCGTTCACACAGCTTCACAGGAGCGCATGCACCTGATCCTGTTGTCAATGAGCCAGGAGCTCGGTCGTCCTCCAACTTTACGTCCGATCAACCGACAACGGACCGACAGACCAGAACGGGCACCCGGGAAGAACCCGCTGCGTAGCATGCAATGACGATGTCTGGTTTCAGACGGGGACTCCATCGTAACTGCGACGCCGCGAGCGCAGTGTTAGCAACGACAGTCTTCGCACTGTATGTCATCGCATCGCGTCGTTGCGAGTGCGCTGGAGGGATGTCGACGACCAGGATCGACGTGCGTCAATGTGGGGACGCGGTTGAGACCGAACACATGACTGTAGGGAACGATGCGGTCCACGAGTTGGTTGCGATCGGCAGACACACAACACGGCGAAGAGGAGGAGGAGGGCGTGGTGGACTACCGACGACGGATTGAAGGCACAATGCAGTTTACTACACAACAACGGGGTCAGCTGAAGGTCGTGACGTGTCTGCTTACCGGTGCACTCGACTACTTTTGACTGTGGTCTCCGAGTGCTTTGCCGAGGGCAGCACTGGGTACATAGCAGAGCGTGAGGAGTGCTGGTGTATAGGACCGACTAAGGTGTCTTGTGACCTCATTCGATCGCGAGATACTCACCTCAGTATCAGTAGATGCACGTATTCAGCCGTTCAGACAACTACAACATGGACGCACGGTCGTAAACGCCTCGAACCGGTGCGGAACCGCTCGAGTCGTGCGGGATGGCCGACGTGGGAAGTCGCCACCGGCTCAGGAGGGAACGGTATTTTTAGGACCGACTCGCTGCGTGTGCGTGTGTGTGTCCTGACGTTGAACCCAAGAAAAGCCGCACGTATCCCCTGCGCGCTCTTCACTTCTCGAGTCGGCCTCCGCAGCCATCGACGAGCTTCGAAGCCTGCAGGTCAACTTCCCTCATCGCCACCGGACAATGTACGTACGCAGCACTACCATCGAGTGGTGCACGACTCGAGCGCTGCATTGGCCCTCTTTTTTGACGTGTCGGTTGTCCTCTTCGGTAGATGCTCACGGCCACAACCGACGCGTTGACGAAAGCTCGCGAGTGCTTTAGCAGTCCCAAGATGCTCCTCACGTACCTCTGGTTCAGCACAATGCTTCTCGGTCTCCTGTATGCAATCGCTGCAGTTGTCGCGGCTGTCAATAACGACCACGAAGGCGAGAGTGACTCCAAGTCGCTGGGCTTCGTGGGCATCTGGGCCATGCTCCTCATCATTGCGCTGTCCATTGGTGGCACTCTAGTCCTGCGCCAGCACCAGACCCCTCTAGCTGTCGGCTTTCTCCTTGGCGTCGTGCTAATGATGTCGCTGCAGATGTTCTCGCTCGCGATTATTTTTGCAGGTGCGGCCTACTTGGCCCGCATCGAGCGCGCCAAAGGGGACACGCACACGAGCGTCCACTCGAACGAAGCCGGTTCGGTTTTCTCCTTCTTCATGTTCGTTGTCTACGTAAGTTACTGCTGCGCCCTTCGGCCCATACAAACTTGCGTTGCTGGTACTGTACTGACTTTACGTGACTTGACAGGCCGTCTTTGCCGTCGTGCTGGCATACTACCGCGACGTCGTGATCAAAGAAGGCGGGAGTTTGGACCCGCACGGTCGTCGCAGCGACGTTGAAAAGGATCAGGTTCGAGCGGGCCGTCGTCCATCGACAACAGTCACTGCTGCTGCGTCGCCACGTCTCATTTGCACGAACCGCGTTTGAGTCGAGTAGTCAGTCAATCCTCTGACCCACATACGCACATACGCGACCGTGCAAAAACAAATGTAGGAGCTACAACGACAACGAGATCGTGTTGGTGTCGTGGACATTGAAGCAGTGTAAACTGACAATACCAACGAGGAAAGTGAGTGACCTCGAAAGTGTCGTTGTTGAACCCGAACAGACGAGTACGAACACAGTCCGCTTCACTTGTTGTCGATGTCAAGTGACCGGCCAGATGTTACGAACAATCGCACGTTGTGTTTGCCCGTTTGCCCGACGTCGATCTCGTCATGCGTTGCACATTGTTGTGTACTAAGGTCACTCGTGCGAACACCAGCGCTGTTTATTGCTCTGCATACTGTAGAAGCTGGTAACGGGTTAGTGCTTTCTATCAGTTCTTGGGCTTTACCATGATCGTTATCCCGTACAAACAATTGTACGCAGAAGCAGCGGGTAGCTTTGCAAAAAGCAGACTGTCACTTGCGCGAAGTGGAAGAGACGTACAGAGCACTTGAACGCAAGAGGAAGTGGCGTACGCGCAGAAAAGAAGCTGCCGACTAAAAATTACGGCACCAGCTTAAACCTGGGGCATATCGATCGCTCCGACGACTATCGCATTCGACAGGGTCGTCTGGACATGGAAGCCCGTCTGAAGTAAGAGCACGCGCGCTTCCACTCGTACGCGTCTGAGCTGCTGATTGGACGGGCTTGTGTGAAGTGCAGCACCAGTTTCTCGTCCTCCTTCTCCCCACCTCCTCGCTTCAGTGCCCTCTCCTGCGCACTTATCGCATGTTTTTGTCCATGTCCACCCACGCAATGGCACACTCTCCAACCTCCCCGAAGTACCCGCAACAATGAGTCTCGAGATCGAGTGTATCAAAGCTGGGTACGCCCCCTCCACCTGTTCTGCCGCCGCTAGGGCCTCTTCTGCACCTATCGCCACTTTTTATATATAACGTCTCTCTTTGATTCCCTTCTGCTGTCCACCGTAGCGACGGCGTCAACTTCCCCCGGCCAGGCCAGACCGTCTCGGTGCACTACGTGGGCACACTGACCACCGGCTCCAAGTTCGACTCGAGTCGGGACCGCGGCCGCCCGTTCCAGTTCAAACTGGGCGCGGGCCAAGTGATTCGCGGCTGGGACGAAGGCGTCGCCCAAATGAGTTTGGGGCAGATCGCGAAGCTCACGTTGTCGCACGAGTACGCGTACGGCGAGGCGGGCCATCCCCCGGTGATTCCGCCCAAGGCGACGCTCGTGTTTGAAGTCGAGCTGCTGTCGTTCTGTTAGACGGCGACGAGTAGTCGGCGGTGGGCCGCTTCGAGTCCGTCGGTTCGACGACTGTGAGCAAACGAGTGCCAAGTGGGTACCTAACTGGTCGGTATATACACTGCAATTGACACGCACGATTCAGTGGTCTGTTTCGGCGATACGTTCAGTCGTGAACTGCTGCTACTGCTGCTACTACGCTGATGCTGTTGCTGCTTTGCTCTTGCTCCTGCTCCTGCTCCTGCTCCTCCTCCTACTACTACTACCACTACCACTACCACTACTACCACTACTACTACTACTACTACTACTACTACTACTACTACTACTACTACTACTACTACTACTACTACTACTACTACTACTACTACTACTACTACTACTACTACTACTACTACTACTACTACTACTACTACTACTACTACTACTACTACTACTACTACTACTACTACTACTACTACTACATCATTTCTACTGTTATCAGAGCAAGCTTTGCACGTGTAAACTTATCATTAAGACATATTCTCACGAGCAAGCGTTGGCCGCGATGATTATCTCACCGTCGATGTAAGTTCCTGGGTTGTGAGACATTCGCCTCTTAATGGGGCCCAACGTCCTATACAAAGGACCCACACTGCATGCTGTGCATCACAATAGCGACGCAGACAGCAAGATGAGAGCGATAGAGGTCGCCATGAGCTCATGTCTTATGGTACTTCGAAGTCAGGCAACACGGGCTAATGTAGTGCAAATTTATGTTTTGGACAAGCAATAATAAAAGGATGTAAACAATACAAATTTTCGCAATAGCGGGCGAGACGCAATACCATGAAGATTCCGACACTTATTTTGTTCGACAACCATTCCGACAATTAGATAATGTTGCTTTATACGGAAAGTTTACAATCAGAAGAGCTGTATGATTGGACGCTAAATACCTGGAAGAGGTTAAATACACCTAGCATTATTGCTAAATACACCGCACCCTTTCTATTAGTCTTAATGTTTATATGGCAACAGTTGTATCACATTTCAGGCCACGCCACGTCGAATATTGCATGATAAGCTGATCAGAAATGCACCTGTAACATAGCCACATCAATTCAAAAAGAAGATTTTCGTTGTCTAACGCATGATGACGACGAGCCCTTGATCCACTACCGCTACTGCTGCTATCACTGCTACGGTCGTTAATGCTGGTACTAATTATGTCCGCCTCCACTACTTCTGCTGCCACTGCTACGGTTGTTGATGTCGATACCAATTCTTTCGTCGCTGACAATCAGGTTAGGTTTCAAGATGATTCTTCTCTTAATCATGCCGCCGCTGATCTCTCATGGATCTGTGACTCCACCGGTCGGGCCTTTTGACAGCCAAAAGACGGCTGTAGAGGCTTTTAGCAGGACGCCGTACGCTAAGGCTTTGCTATTAGTGTATCCCGCCGCTGTTCGATGGGTTCCAAGCGCAGTTTTCTCACATGTTGGCAGAAAAAACATCATAAGAGATCCCACAGTCGGCACACGTCAATGCGAGATCGCGGAACAAAAAAGGTCGGCTGTTCATGCGAGCTCGTGATCATGTATGACAAGCACGCCCCCGAAGAAATTGCCTGGTCAACGTTTTTAGTCGACAACTGATACACCGGCCACTCTCGTTGTATCAGCAAGACCATGCTCTCAGCGTCACCGGCAGCGCGACGTGCGACGCGATAATTGGAGATATCCATTCTAAGGTCGTCAAGATACATCAGGATGGAGCTGCTCCACGGGTATGTATGCGTGTCAAATTCATATACAGCAGGCCATTATCTGTTTTTGTCTGTATGTGATTATTATAGGATTATGTAAACCAGATTAAGGAGGCGAGTGTCCTTATAAATGCCAAGGGTGTCCACAATATCGTTTAGAAGTCAAAGAGAAAGGAACTTGGTGGAAAATTACACACGGAAGCTTTGCTGCAGCACATGAAGGACCAGCATATTTTATCTACGGTTGCAGTGTCAAGACGCGGGTACATTTTAATTACCTGATTCTGTAATTTATTTGAATTAGCGTGGCCTGGCTCCGTTACAGGTGCATTTCTGATCAGCTCATCCTGCAATATTCGAAGTGGCGTGGCCTGAAATGTGATACAACTGTTGCCATATAAACATTAAGTCTAATAGAAAGGGTGCGGTGTATTAAGCAATAATGCTAGGTGTATTTAGCCTCTTCCCTGAATGCCTATCCACTGTATTTTGTTTTTGGACTGTGATGGCACTCACAACAGGCCGTGCGATCAGAACAAGTCAGGCTCAATCTTCGCTAAACGGTGCTACCGGAAAAGACGTGATACTGTACAAGACACAGCTCTTTCTGTAGTATCTAATGTCGGGAGGGACAGCGAGGTGCGACAAAAGTGTAAGCCAAACGGTCTGACGCTTTATTTCTTGCGTACAAGACTAATTAACAGGCATGTATGTCTGAGGTAATTCATTCCATAGGTCCATTACAGCATGCGTCAATATCGTTGCGTCTGCTACTTGACATTCAGCGACGAAGAGAACCCAAGCGGATGTGCAGTCAGTGAATAAAGCGATAGTCGAAGTGTTGGCACATGCAGTCTGACGTTATTATTGCTGTTCTGTTCTCTATATCATGTGCGTTCCGGAGTTATTGTTGCTATCTGTTTTTCTGTCTCGTGTGAATTCTGACGTTTTTCTTGCCAACGTTGTGTTGCCGTTGACGCTGATGCTAAAATCTATGTTGCTGATGCTGTTTTTGCGTTTGATGCTGTAGCTGTTAGTGCTGTAGCTGTTGATTCTGTTAATGCTGTTGATGCTGCTGTTACTGATGCTGTTGGTGCTGTTATTGCTGATGATGTTGGTGCTGTTGTTGCCGTTGATGATGTTGGTGTTATTGCTGTAGATTCTGTTGGAGCTGATGGAAGCTGATGCTGTTGACGCTGATGCTGATGCTGTTGACACGATTGCTTTCTGTATCTTCTGCTCTTGTGCGATAGGTGACTATACATGAAGAGATAGAAGGACTGGTTCAAAAAGACAGTGTATCGATAATAAATTGTTTCCCATCATCTTTTGTTCATCGAAGCACACTTACTAGATAAAATGCTGACGTTGCTATTTGATGCACTTAACATAGACAGCAGACTGCTAACCTTTACTAGATAGAAAATTGTAACGAAAGGTACTTTCGATTTCTTCTACTATGTGCAATATGTGGTGTGATTCAATGGAGATAGTTCCGAAATAGCTCTAGTTGCAAGCAACGCCTCGTACGCCACAATTTTCTTGCTAATGCAATTTTTTATTGAGGTTGCTGCACGTGCTCAACGTTGTTGGCTCTAACGGACAAATCTTGTTTACGGACAAGCGACATTTTAGACGCCCAAACAAAGGCATGCCACGTTCGGCACACAAGTACAGCGTCCTGGTAGTTGATTGAAATTGTGACAGTCATGTCTATGTGTTACATAAGTAATAGAATCTCACCTTTCGTACATGATACAGATTTCTTTATGGATCCTCTCACTCTTGTCATGCATAGTCACTAGAGTGCGCGCCATCTCGAGTAGTATGTCGTACACGATTGATCTTTGTGGAGCAAATTATTCTAGCAGCCACTTCGTAACTTGACTGTAATAGGAAAACACAGAGTTCTTCGCCAAAAATTATCCATTGCTGCCCTTGATGTAGGCGAAGTGCATGGCGAACTTCCACGTAACTGCGACGAAGAAGGCACCAGACGGGTCACTGAGGATGGGTGCGTTCAGCTGGTCGAGTGTGACGGACTCTGACGCGAGAAACTTCTTGAAGTTGCTCACTTCCGTATAAATGGCCAAATTAGTGTTGGCTGGAGCCCACGACTGAAGTATCATGTTCCTGTGATGTCTGGTCATTGAAGTGTACTAGCGTATATAAATACTTATGTTCAGTTTAATGAGGCTAACGACTTATCCTTTGTAGACTGCGCGGACATACTTCAACATAGACCTCAGTGATTATGTTATCGTGGAGATTACTTTGCAGTAGCGTATAGCTACAATATTATACTTAAGTTACACAGGTAACGAATTACTAAGGTGCCGACTTTGTCGGAATCTTTTATAATATGCGACATAGTATACCATAAACCAGGCATTTGTATGGAGATAAAACATACTTTTGGCTTCATTCCGACAAAATTTGTCGGAAGGATGTCGGAATGAATATGCCCTACCCCTAATAGTACGCTTCGCTAAAACTGCTATACGAAGAATCATGGATTGGCTATAATTAGATGGCAATCTCCCATTGGTCCACCATCGCATACTGAAGCAAATGATTTTTTCGCTGGGCGGATTTGTGATCATATTCATGAATATGATCAAAAGTAGTGCGGGGCATTAGCAATACGGGTCGTTTAGTGTTGCAAATTCGTTGTACGAAACGAATTGTTAAGCAACAGATCGTTTAGCAATGCAGAGTCTGCTGTACGAAAGTCACCGGTAAGCAATACGATCTGTAAGCCATCTTTTACTAGCAAGATAGCTACGCCCTTAGACATTCGACGGATATGACCTTTCAGCACCAAGTGAATGCCGTACTTGCTCTTGTCCACTTCACTGTCATTGTCCCTCCCTCCGTGACGATCAAGTCCATCTCCTATACTGTATAGTGTTGTCGAATCTTTTTTAAAACGCGTTCAACGCATTTCTGCGGAATGCCCTTCGCGAAAGCTGACGTGTCTTTACCTGACTCTGTTGCTTGATCTTGACAAAGAGATCGTACTCATTACCAGCAACGAAGAAATATGTTGTGATGCCTCACAAGTAGTCGTTTGATGACGACAAGATCACGCCATCGTCCTGGACTTACTTACATGGACATCGGAGCACCTTCATGTCGACGGTCATCAGTCTCGAAAAGCGCGCGGCACCTTTGCTTTTGACACGAAATTTCCCATCAAAGACATCCGACTTCGATTCTTGCGCGTCTTGCAAAAGCAGATAGCTGCTTTGGTATCGAAGGCGCTTGCTTCAGT